CCTACCCCCTATTGAAATGTAATTCTTTTTCCAAGCCGCCAAGGGTAGCCCTAAGTATGTCAAAGGCCCATAAACTACTTTCTTTAGGGTTGGCTCCTAAGGGTAGCCCTAAGTATGTCAAAGGCCAAGAAGAAATATTGCAACCTAAGCATTCTGCAATGGATTCAATCTCCCTATTCTGCAAAGCTATTCCTTCTCAGGCCCAAAAATACTCTACCTATGAAAAAAACTCATGGCCATTGTGCTGGCCATTTAGAAATGGCTTGGTTACTTGTTGGGCCTGTCAATCTTCTAGGTTGATAGAACACCAAGAGTTTCAGGGGTGTCAAACTGAATGGTCTCCCCCCACTCCCAAAGAGCCTATATATCTTATTAGTTATATGTATTTACAAAGAGGCCCTTGAAGGGCTAAAGATAGAAAAGAATAATTACAACAGGGATCATAGAACAACATTACGTCAAGTATCTCTATAGGGCCGCCATTTAACTATTCGTTCTAATCACAAGAATCTGAGATACTTGGTGGAGCAACTTGTACTCAATGAAATTCAACAAAAGTGTCTATATAAGTTGATAGGTTTTGACTATACTATCGAGTACAAGGGTGGGCCTTCAAATATTGTGGCTGATGCCTTGTCAAGACAACATGAGTTGGCCCAACTCACAACTTCAAGGCCGTCTTATCCTCTTACAGTGCAGCTGAGGGTAGAAGCCATACAAGATGACACTCTTGTTCAGCTTAAATCCCAGATTATGGCCGGTTTGGCCTATCAACTAGGCTACACTATCAGTCATGGTTCTCTTATGTTCAAGGGTCGAATGGTGATTCCACAAAAATCTGCCCACATAGAAGCCTCACTGGAGCTGTTCCATGCATTGACTCTTGGGGGGCATTCAGGTATATTTTGTACATATCAAAGGTTGGCTTCTCATTTTTGTTGAGTGGGTATAAAAAAAGTACGAGATTATTAGGCTCAGTGTACAGTTTGCTAGAGGAATAAATTTGATATTCAATCCCCGGTCGGTTTGTTGCAGCCCATTCCTCTTCCTAAACAAGTATGGGATTTAGTCACGAAGGAAACCAGTCCAACAATTTCCTACTTTTATAACAAAGAAAATAAGAAGGAAGAAGAGAGGAAGTTCTATTCAAGAGAAAGAAGAAGTTGGAAGAAAAGAGGAAGGGAAGAGAGTAGAAAAAATTGTCCCTCTTTCACTCCCTTAATCTCTTTATATATGTGCTGGACTAATTATAGGAGAAATTACATGGGTGCCCCTGGTTAGGCGGCTGACCAAAAAAAAGAACTAAATGTGTCAAGGGCCCATAGAGATAACCCATCACAGCAGAAATAAAAACAATAAACAACTGAACTAAACTAAGGCCCTTTTGGCCCACTCTCTCTACACTCCCCCTCAAGTTGAGTATAGATGTCAATCATGCCCAATTTACTTTTATAGTGTTGAAGCTTCGCCTAAGGTACTACTCTCTTGGTCAAGATGTTTGCTCGTTGTTCCTCTAAAGAGATGAAAGGGAGGCACACTTCTCCTAAGGCCACTCTCTTTCGTATGAAGTGTCTGTCTACCTCAATGTATTTGGTTCTGTCATGCTGAACAAGGTTATGAGCTACGTTAATTGTGGCTTGATTAGTGATTTAAAAGGCGTGCCTGAGGTGCGCCTAGGCGCACAGGCGAGGCACATTTTGGGGTATGCGCCTCGCCCAGGTCCTAGGCGCACCTCTTTCAAAAGGCGCGCACTTGGTACGCCTACGCGTGCACATGATGCGCCTTGTGCCTCAGCCCAGGTGTGCGCCTTCTTTAAATTTTGCGCTTTTTGCTTTTTTTTTTTTTGAGTCTAACGGCTGGGCCGGGTGCTCGATCCCCGGACCCCCAACCACACTCCTCGAGGCAAGCCCATAACAAGTCTATGTTAGGGACTGAAATTCTTATTTCTCACATAAAAAATAATGATTTTACAACTTTCATTGCCTTTTAAGAAGATATTTTAGTGCAATGAATGAATGAACAACATAAGCAAATAGGGGGTTCTCGGAGCTTCGGTGAGCAAGCGAAGACTTGTTTGGGCTTGCCTTGAGGGGCGTGCTACAAAGCCAACTCATAGAATCAAGAATGCAATATGTTTTACATCACATTAACTACTTGAAACAATGCAATTATGGAAAAAAAGAGATTGTGGGTTTTACATGCTTGAAAATGCTTTATATGTTTGCTTTTATTTTTAAATTTTCATTTGAATACACTTTACATGTTATGTTTTTGTATTTTAATTTTAGATAATAGGTTTTTTAAATCATTTATTTTAAAATTTATGTTTATATTTTTGTTAACATTATGTTTAATATTTTTTAAAATTTTTGCATTTTTAAAAATTTTTTTTGGAATTTTTTGACTTTTTTTAGCTTTTTTTTTTTTTGGAGTTTTGCGCCTTTCTTAAGAAGGTGTACGCCTCGCCTTGCGCCTTGCGCCTTGCGCTTCAGGTGCAAATTGGACCTTGCACTTTTAAAACACTGGGCTTGATTGATTTTCACAATACAACATCAACAACCTATCATAATGAATTCCCATGTCTTCTAGGAACAATATGAGTCTGACACCCCATAAGCCATAGCCCTATACTTTACCTCAGTTGAAGATCGAGCAACAACATATTGCTTCTAACTCCTCTAGGAGACAATGTTTCCAGTCACCATGGCACAATAACCTGATGCGGATCTTCTATCATCTATACTGCTTGCCCAGTCAACATCTGTATATGCTTCTAACTTCATATGTCCATGCTTAGCAAAAAGTATACCTTTCCCAGGAGTCCCCTTAAGATAACATAACACCCTTTCTAGAGTGGCCATATGTGTGTCTCTAGGAGTATTTAGAAGTTGGCTAATCACACTTACAACATAGGAAATGTTTGGTTGTGTCATGCACAGGTATAGAAGCTTCCCTAACAGTCTTTGAAACACTCCCCTATCAGTCAAGAGCTCCCCTTCAATAGGAGTGGAAGTAGGCTTAGCACCAAGTTTCCCAGTCTCAATGAGAAGGTCCAACACATACTTTCTCTAGGAGATGAAAAGCCTCTCTACACCTAGCAACCTCAATGCCCAAGAAGTACCACAACTCCCCCAAATCTTTAATCTCAAATTTAGATTTAAGGAAGTATTTGAGATCGCGAATTTCCTATGCATCACTACATGTGACAACAATGCCGCCCACATAAACAATGAGGAAGGTAACATGACATGAGAAGCTTTCCTCATCACAAATAGAGTGTGGTCTAACTATATGTATGACCAAACTGAATAAGTGCAGTCCTGATTCTATCAAACCCAACACGAGGAGATTGTTTAAGTCCGTAGAGAGACTTCTTTAGTTTACATACCTTACCTTGCATCTCCTTACCATACATTCTAGGGGGAAGGGAATATACGCCTCTTCTACCAAGTCATCATTCAAGAAGGCATTTTTGACATCAAACTGGTAAAGAGGCCAATCATAATTTTCTGCCAAAGACAAGAGAACTTTCACAAATGCCATCTTAGCTACTGAGTATACCCCTTGGCAACAAGGCAGGCGTTATACCTATCAATCTGCCCATTGGCATGGTATTTTATGGTGAAAGCCCATTCACAACCAACAATCTTCTTCCCAATAGGTAAGTCTACAATATGCCAAGTTTTGTTCTTACGAAGTGATTCTGTTGTAGTTCTCATAGCATCTCTCCATTCTGGCTTAGATAAGGATTTTGATACATTCTTAGGGACACGTTGGGCTAAAATGGAGAGCTGATCCCCCCAATATTTGACATCTGATGTTAGAGGGTGATACACATTTAGCTCATTGCGGATGTTCCTCAAACTTGCATAATACTCCTCTAAGCTTTGACTTCCTTGCTTCAAATTGAAGTACTCTTGGTACAACTGATATACCCTAGTTGTGTTGTCTTGTCCAG